GTGGGCTCAATCCCCAATAGAGGAGGCAGCCGATTGATCAATCGATATTTTGCTCTCACATCCATATTTCTCTCTCTCTCCCTCCCTCTTCTTCCTCTCTCTCTAAAAATCAATAAAAATATTTCTAAAATAACAAATAAAATAAACTGAGCATCAAAATAAATGACTAACAATTTATAACCCATTGAATAAAATAAGAATCTATGAGTTCATATTGATATAAACAAACATATGAGTAAAAGGGGGAGAAGGAAACGCTTTTTCTTAGATTACAATGCCAATAATTAATGCAGAATAAATGATGGAATCAGAAAATCTGTATTTGGTGACCATCACAATAATAGCCGATTCAGTAAAAACGGATTCAATTAGGAATTATCAATAATTATCAATGGGAGCTTAAACGAGTGTATGCTAATCAGATGAGCAACTGGATATCCAGTTTCATAGTATTTCCCAGAAGAGACTTATTAAGATGCGTCAGACACCATGGTAAGCAAGTGTTCAAAGGTAACATCACCAGTAATGGGACAAGCCCACGCTGTGAGGACACATCCTTCCTGTGGCAATCCTACCAAAACTGTAGGCCCAACATCTAATCCCAAAGAAATATCAAAGAAATCCAAATTCAGGGACATTCCATAAAATAACTAGTTGGTACTCTTCAAAAATATAAAGGGCAGGAAAGCCAAAGAAAGATAGAGAAACTATTACAGATAAAGATATGACAAGAAAACTAGACAGTAATCCTGGATTGGATCCTAGACCATAAAAACAACACAAAATCATTTTTCCTTTTTGCTAAAAGAGATATTACTGTGAAAAATGACTAAATCTGAATAAGGTCTGTAGATCAGATAATACTTTTCTTCCTCAAAGCTGATTTCTTGATTTTGATAACTATAGTAAGGTTATGTACGGAAATACCTCTGTTTTTATAAAATAAACACTGAAGTCCAAAGTATTTAGGGGTTAAGGACATCATGCCTGCAATTAACTCTAAAAAATTATGGCAAAGGGTTTGTAAAAATTCTTTATACTATTCTTGAACTTTTCTATAAGTCTGACATTATTTTAAAACACATACACACAACGCACGTACACACACACACACACACACACACACACACATCCCTTTGGTACCAAAGGAAATACACTGAACATCCTTGATCATAAATAATCTTTGCTTCCTTAGGATTCTGAGTAGAATTACTAAATCAAAGGTATACAGCTTAAAAAATACTGATGTGTATGGTAGAGAAGTTTTTGCATACCTCTGTGGAGGAGCAAGGCAGTGGAAACGGAGGACTGAGAGATTAGACTGTGGGGTGAAAGCAGGTGTGTAACTGGAACTAAGGAATGCGCTCAGAATGAGTGGGAACCAAATGCTAGGTTGGGCAGATGGGGGTGAGGGATCAAAGCTGATGACATGAGACTCTTCAGAAACACAACCCTCAATAAAGAAAGAAAGAAACATAACCCTCATGTGGTTTAGCTGATGGGCCACTGTAATTTACATACACAAAGGCATGGTAAGAGCAGACTTTAAGTAAAACGACGTATAATGAAACCAGTTTTTCCACAGGCTAATTAATGTAAACAATAGTTGAGTTCCTACAGCATCTCATGGTTGTAACAAAACGATGTTGAATGAAACGATGTTACTCAAGGAACTGCTGTATATTAATTTGCTTCTTATTGAATAATGGCTATTTGCCAGTGACTAAGTGCTTCATGTGGGTTCTACCATTTAATCCTCCAAATAACTCCATGGGGGTGGTAGTAGCATTATGTCCATTTCACTGATGAGGAAAATCAAGTCTAGAGAAGTAAGTTAAGGTCAGACTTGATCCATGTCATAAAGCTTAGATTCAAATCCATGAACCTGACTCTGGAGTCTTCACTCGAAACCACAATGCTATCTATGCTGGATAAAAAAGTTTTCATTGAGGAGAAAAAAGACAATGAATCATACATCGGGAAATTAGGAGGAACATTACAGTCTATTAAAATACAAATCCCACTTTTCCCTTTCGCAATCACCCAAGCACTCATCGATAAAGGGAGCGTACCTGACAGAAGAACTGTTGCTGGGTTCCTGCTCCCGGTGCGTTACTGAAGGTGCTGGTAGGTTTGGAAGCAGCAGCTGGAAGACGATGAGACACACTGACCGGTACTGGAGTCCTGTTTGGCTGGGTCAGCTGGTCTCCTGTAAAGTTTGATCCTGACGCACCCGACTGAACCGCAGACCCAAGACTAGGATGGACAGTGCTGGACGAGCTAACAGGGAACCGACTAGGTCCTGACATGCTTGTCACTGAGGGCATGGTGGAGAAGCCGGGTCTTCCCTGGGAGACGCCGCCCTGCCCAGGCGACAGGTGTAAGACCGTTGGTGATGCCTGTTGCAAGGGCATCTGTCCACCAACAATCTGAGGGGAGGCATGATTGACTATCACTGGACTTCCAGAGGCAGCAAACGTCTGCCCAGACACCAGCTGGACAGTGTTCTGGTTGTTCAGCATCGGCCCGGAATACGGCTGGTTGGTCCTGAGCATGTTGGAAGAGTTTCTGTTCAACATGACATGCTCTGAGGCCGCTTGGCCAGAAATGAGCTGAGAAGATTGGGTCTGAACAAGTTGCCCATTTATGGTCTGGACGTGATGGACCGAGTTGGAGCTGACGGAAAGGCTTGTAGGTACGAGGAACTGACTTTGGGGGGTGTGAGACTGGCCCATGGGAGAGTGAATGACGATACTGCCCGCAGCGCTGCTCACTGGCTGTGAGGTGACTGGTTTCCTTGTGTTCTGTTGGTTGACGATGTTCACAGACATGTGCGGCCCAACGACTGAACCCTGGGGGGAGCTCGCAGAGGCAAAAGAGATCCCTTGCTGCACGTGATGCTGCTGTATTCCCAGATTGTTCACATTGTACGTATTTTGCTGGCCCATCTGGATGGGCTTTGGCTGGATGTTTATTGGGACTTTGTTGGAATTTGGTGCGAGACCCCTTTGTATGATGATGTTATGCACAGGTAAAGATGTTTGAAAATTTGTGCTGTTAAACGGAACAGTAACAGGCTGTGCTACTGGACTGGAACTCGAGTTCCCAAACAAGGAGTTGCCATTGGGCGTCTGTCTATGTACCAGAAGTCCTCCACTCACATTGGATGGGGCTTGCTGCCCGCTGCCCTTTAATATGATTTGAGATCCATCTAGGTTGTTAATAGTCATCATGGAAGGTTGATTACCAAATGACCCAATTAACTGTATCTGACCAGAACCACTCAGCTGACCGCTATTAGACAAATGCTGGCTGGGCACGCTGATCCCCACGTGTTGCATAAATCCATGTTGCACACCCACTGTATTGCTTGCAAACGATGCTCCAACAGGCACGTGAGTCACCCCTATAGGCTGCAGCGTCTGACCTGAGTAATTAGAAACATTAGAAGCCTGAGTATAGGATGCTGATGAAGAAGGATGAAGCTGAGCTTGTGCAAACTGCTGGCTTGAACCTATACTGGCATCCAAATATGCCTCTTCTGCCAGCGTCTGCTCAGTGATGTTGGCCTCCTGCAAGGATTTCTGAAGGATGTCGAAAGGTTGGTCCTCACTGAGATCAGGAAGAGGAGAAGACTCAAGTTCATCTTCAAGAAACTGAAGGCTGTTGGAAAGTGGCAGTCCATCACTGGGCCCTTCTCCAAGCTGGTTGCTCACAGCTTTGAGGGATGACTTAGGATCAGCATTCTATTAAAAAAAAAAAAAGCAGCAATATGTTACATGGCATATCCAATCTTTGAAAAGAGATTCTTATAAAAAAATTAATCTCACTTCTGAATACAAATAAAGCATGGCAGTTTGAACACAACTCTCCAAACTGCTCACCTTATTCTCATACTGTATTTCCTTTCTCATGATGTTGAACATTACTTTTGCAATTATACACATTCACTGCTCTGGTAAATCAGTTTATAGAAAACAGATAAATAACAGGAAGATACTGACAACTATCTGGAGTTTAGCTTCATTTAAAAAAATTATTTAGAGAATGAGAGAGAGAGAAACACACGATGATTTGTTGTTCCACCCATCCATGCATTCATTGCTTGATTCTTCTACGTGCCCTAACCAGGGATTGAACCCACAACCTTGGTGTACTGGGATGACACTCTAATCAACTGAGCTGCCTGGCCAGGGCTAGCTTCATTTTTTTGAGATACTGGCACAGACTTTAATTTTCATAATTGCTTCCAGGCCAAGGTTTAAGCGCAACTCAGCCTGGGGTAGGTATGTATTGAGGAGATGGCCATGTCTAGTCCTTTGTACAATGGGAGTCTAAGTGAGTTTTGGGAGTTTAAGGTGTTGTTTTATGAGAGATCCAGAAGGTATCAGATTCAGCCCTATCCTTCAAGGCTTCTCAGAACTCCAGTTCTAACCTCCCCACCCAGGCAAGACCAGTCCAGGAAAAACCAGCTTCCTACATAAAATGAGTAAATGGTCATTTGATTTCTTAGAAGTGATCAGCTTATTATAATGCTTTAAAAAGTGCTTCAGCATCCTATTCAAAAGCAAGTCTCTCAACATTTATTTATCAAGCACTCTCTTATGTGTTTCTGTCCTTAAGGAAAACATATTCCAACTAGAGACAACAGTATAGGCATATGAAGGGAACTGAACAGGGTCACTCATAAATAAGATACATTCTCACTATTCCAGCAGTTTTTCCTGGGACATGTCAAACTTATAAAAGATATGGACTCTATCCCTCATCTTGGAGCCTGTGAAGGCGTACTGGGAACAGGACTTCAACAATGACAAATGGGTGTGAAAGGCTGTGGTCCAAGGCCATTAACAATTTGTTTTGTTCTGTTCTGTTAATCCTCACCCGAGGATATTTTACTCCATTTATTTATTTTTTTTAGGGAAAGTAGAAGGGAGGAAGGGAGCGGGGAGAGAGAGAAACATCGATGTGAGAGATACATTAACTGCTTGTCTCCCACACACACTCCAACTGGGCTGGGATCAAACTGGAAGCCCAGGTACGTGCCCGTGACTGGGAATCAAACCCACAACACTCCGGTGTGTGGGCGACGCTCTAACTAACCACTGAGAAACACCGGCCACGGCCACGGGCATTTTTGCTGGTTATAAGTGGGGTCTCTGGAATTATTTCGATAGAGAGGATGAGCGAGAGAGAAAAAAACACAATGATTTGTTGATCCACCCATCTTTTGCTTTTTTTTTTTAACCATTTGTACTCCATAAGCATCTATAGATGCAAGCGGTGGACCTTTTTAAATTAAAGATATCGTGGCAGTTAACTGGTTAATTTTAAAAAATATGTTTTTATTGATTTTTAGAGAGGGATAAAGAGATAGAAACATCTATGAGACAGAAACATCAATTGACTGCCTCCTGCATGTCCTCTACTGGGAACCAAACCAGTGACCTCTTGGTTCATGGGTCAACACTCAACCACTGAGCCACACTGGCCGGGCGAGGATATGTTGTTTATTGATTTTGAGAGAGAGAGAGAGAGAGAGGGAGAGAGAGAAAGAGAGAGAAAGAAACATCAATTGGTAGCCTATGGTACCCTCCCCGCCCAGGGATTGAACCTGAAACCTAGGAATCGAACCCACAACCTTTTTGGTGTATGAAATAATGGTCCAATCAACTGAGCTACCAGGTCAGGGCACACACAGTTCTTAAAATTGAAGGTGTTCATGCTGGAGATGAAACTGAATTCTACCTAGACACGAGATGCGGTGATGTGTCTAAGGCAGAGAACAGCACAGTGACTCCTGGTGGCAAACCGAACTAAACCAGAGTAGCCTGGGCCAGGAACTCGTGCTCATGGAAACAGTGGCATGACTCAAAGTAACCTTCCTGCTAAGGTCACTGGACACAGAATCCATGTAATGCTGTAACCCTCAGGGACTTCAATGTATTGAAAAGTAAATAAATAAGAGTGAATTTGTTCTCTTGTTTAAAAAAAAGATATGGAATCAACAGCTATTTAAAATAAGGTGAATTGCCTTAACCGGTTTGGCTCAGTGGATAGAGCGCTGACCTGTGGATTGAAGGGTCCCGGGTTCGATTCCAGTCAAGGGCATGTACCTTGCTTGCGGGCACATCCCCAGTAGGAGGTGTGCAGGAGGCAGCTGGTCGATGTTTCTCTCTCATCGATGTTTCTAACTCTCTCTCCCTCTCCCTTCTTCTCTGTAAAAAATCAATAAAATATATTTAAGAAATAAAATAAAATAAAATAAGGTGAATTCAATGTAAATGTACTTAATGCTACTGAACTGTACATTTAAAATGAAGATGGCAAATTTTATAATATATATATTAAATACAATTTAAAAAAATTTTTAACGTGAAGAAAAAATTAAAACTAGACCAATCAAGAATGAGTGGTCCAATGTGCAAAGCTGTAGGGACTCTCAGCCTGAGCTGCTAGGGCTGGGGATGGGCGATGCAGAGAACTACGTAGGAAAGCCAAGACTGGTGCACGGGACCCGTCAACCAGCAGCTGAAATGGGGCTAATGTGGCCTCGGTCAGCTGGGCACCATCGCAGGGCTCGGAGAATCATAGGCTTCAAGGCAGTAATTGGGGCATCGCCTCCTGGCAGGACCCCTTTCCTTCAGGTCAGGCTTCTTGTGTGGATGCTCTGGGACTTGAGAAAACGGGCTCCAGAACCCGTGGCCTGCGTGAGAAACCTAGCTCTGCAAGCCCTGGCTGTGTCACTTAGGGGAGTACTAAGCTCTCTGTGCACAGTTTCCTCATCTGTAGAATAAGGAGAATAACAGAACCTACTTCATAGAGTTATCGCGAGGATTAATGAAGTTAATTATGTTAAACTGTCAGTGTCTCAAACATGCTAGATAAGTTTCGGTTATTATTTTTCTTGTTTGAGATGAGAATATTTAGCATGTAACTACAATTAAGAATAATTTATTTAAAGCTATACGTAACAAGGTTCAAAACTTTGTAATACTACTTTCTTAGATTATAACATTTCTGAGTCAGTTTAAAAAGAAAGTTGAAAGCTTAGGAAAATGGCATGGTAGATCTCATACAGCTTGTCTTGGCTAAGTTAAAAGTAGAAAATGTCAGCATAATTCAACAGATTTCCTTTCTATGTCAGTTACAAAAGACAAGGTAATCATTCTCGTCATGACACAAAGGCAGGTAAAGCCTCAATTCACAGGCATCAATGAGACAGAAACACTGATCACCGCATCCAGTCTCTCATACTCACACTAGAGTTGGCGAAAATTGAATTTGAATTGGCTGCAGAATATCCTGCATTAGTCAAGTCATCATTGCTCTGCAAAGGCACAAATTCAACAGAGATTACTTTAACTGCAGAGAAGAAACAAAAGTTACATCTGCGGCGTGCTAAGTATTACTTACAGATTTATTACTAGGTCCATGCAGAAAATAGTTCAGTGCTTGTGGGTCTCTAGAAAACAATGAAAAAGGGGAAAGCAACCATAAATGTGTTACCTAGACTTAGGATTCTTTTTCCCAGGGTAAAACAAAAATGACACAATTGCCTGAGTAAAATTACCTCCCTATCTTAATTCAAGGTCATTAGTAGTTTTTTGTTTTACTTTTTTTTTTTAATTGATGTTGTTCTATTTCCTATTACCATTCCTGGGACTTGGTAGAAAATAAATTTAATAAAGATAAATAAAGCATTACCTAAGTTTGATCCCTATCAACCCGAGTCTCTTTACTTGTTAATCCATACTATGACGATTAATTTTTACTTTAAAAACCCATCTGGATTTAATATGCTTATTAGGTTGTTTTAGTAGAGGAAACCTCACACAGTTGATTCACCCTGATTTTGGAACGAGCATCTTACCCAATAAGATCAAGGAGACACGAGTCGTCATCATCATCCATGACAACTATAAGAAAAGGAATAAAAAAAACACTTTCAGTGAAGTGGATTAAAGCCAGGAGCACCCATGCAACCTAAAAATATACTATGTGCTTTCCTAGATAAATAACTGACTGCATGTGAGTTTTTCCTCTAATTGCTGATTATTACTGGGATTTTGTTTTTGTGTGTGTGATCATTCAAGAGATAAAGTATTCAATTTAAATAGTTTTTATTGAACATTAATCCTTAACTTACAAGTCAAAAAGGAATCTGGACAAATCAAAGATAGTTGGCAGCAACCCCTCATGCAGACTCCCCAAAGGGACTGTAAACCATCAACAGCAACTTCCTCAAAATGTATCATGACAAGGGGAGAAAGAATATTTCTGTTTTAGAAAAAGATCTCATGGATACAGAAGTCTTTGAGTTCTGTGACTGGATGTTTCCAAACATGGTGAGCAATCTGGATTTCTTGCCACATTTGAGCTATCTTTAGGAAAACAGAAAAGCCGCTCTCCCTCCTTTCTGAGACAGAAGAGACACCGCAGTCCAGGCAGCACTGCCTCAGGCTTTGCCCCGAAGGTCCCAGGTTCCTCCCTCGGCAGCAACACTGCCAACTGTTCGATTCCAAACAATCTATATCCCAACACTATAAAATCCCAACCCCAATTCCCCCAGCTCCGGGCCCAGAACTCCCTCCCTCCCAGCCGTCCGCAGCATCTGCTCAGCCAGCACAGTGACTGTGTTCTGGCTCAAACAATAACAACCCACAAATTCCAAGAGCAGTTCTCTCCCTTCTCCCTCCCCCGAGATCCTGAGATGCGGGAAACTTACACTAGTGATCCGACACCTGGCAACACTGCTTCACACCCATTTCGAGCCATGCGTGGAATAACTTACATCACGGAATGCCAAGGCCAAGAGTTCTGGAGCGGTTGGAAAGGGCAGTGTGTGAACGGCAGTTGGACGGAGGAATGAAATCCTGAAGAGATGCCCAGAAATGGGACACGCCCGAAGAAGGCAGAGGGATCATTTCTACTTAATGTTTTTTTTTCTCGCTTAAAACTGCCATCTCCTCTCCGCTTCCCCCAAACTGCCCACCCTATCAGTCACGGGCTAAACAAATATAAAATCGACTCCTGCTCACGGAAGGACGCTTGCTTTCCTCAGAAGGGTCTGGAAGGGGTAAGTACCCCGGGCATGGGACTGGCCCCTGGGTGGATGAACTTGTTCAGTTGCTGAGTGATCCGGAGATTACAATTTGAGTGAAGCTTCAGGGGAGAGGAGAGGATGTGTGCGACAGGAGGAAGAAAGAGTTTATCAAAAGGTAACCTCCATGGCTTAAACTGTCAAAGGGGCCTTTGGTAAGTGAAAAGTGCTCTTAGGACTAACTAACATGTGGAGGTACTCAAGGGCATGCTAGAATGACTGTACTAACATAATGTGACTTTTGAGGAGTGGAAATGGCCCAGGAAGGAAAACAGGAAAACTGTTATTAAATAGGTATGTAGAAACCTGTGTGAAGAGTTTCCCCTAAATCTGATATTTATTATGGTAGAATTGCATTGGCCAGACATCACAATCACATGGGTTAATTAAATCTATAAAGTGGATATTACTTCTTTACTTCAACATGACCCTTTATTTTAATCCTCAGCCAAGGATACCTTTTCCATTGATTTTTTAGAGAGGGGGAAGGGAGGATGCGGAGAGGAGAGAGAGAAACATGGTCTGGTTGCCTCCCGCACATGCCCAGACAGGGGCTGGGAATCGAACCCGCAACCCTTGGGACTGTGGGGTTGATACTCTAATGACTGAGCCAAACCAGCCAGGGCAATATGACCATTTATTGAGAGATTCACTGTACTCTGTAAATTTATTTATTTTAAAATATATTTTTTATTGATTTTTAGAGAGAGGGATAGAGAGATAGAGACCTTGATCAGAGGGAAACATCATCAATCAGCTGCCTCCTGCATGCCCTCTACTGGGGATCGAGCCCACAACCCAGGCATTGAGCCTGACTCGGAATTGAACCAGTGACCTCTTGGTTCATGGGTCGATGCTCAACCATTGAGCCACACTGGCTGGGCTGTAAATATATTTTTAAGTGTTTAACAGTCTCTGGAACAAACTAATATATATATATATATATGGCTAATATGTAAAGTGTCCCCTTGGGAGTTTGACCGGGAGACCAGGAGTTTGATCGCTTGCTATGATGTGTGCTGACCACCAGGGGGCAGCACAGAACATGGCCAGCAACCAGCAGGGGTGGCAGGGCACTGAGGGAGCGAGGGAAGGAGGAGGCAGGGAGGTGGGGGGAACCGCGCAGTGGTGGCATGCGGATGGTGAGGGAAGGAGGCGTGGAGGCAGGGAGGTGGGGAAGCTGATAGGCCCTTATCACTGGCCAGGCCTAAGGACCCTACCTGTGCACGAATTTCATGCATTGGGCCTCTAGTGTAAGGTAGTCTAAAGAAAGACCCCACAACACTTTTACAACTATCCCAGCTTCTCTCACTATGTTACACCTGTTCCTAGTTCCTCTAGAAGACAAGGTGCCCAAGGGCTAACGAACTGAGAACGGAAGCCAGCGCTACTGGGGCTTTCAAACATAAAGAACACTTGCTACCCCAAAGTTCAAAGTGACAAGCTACTCCGTGAGTAGCCCAAATAAAAACAACTTTACAAGAGTGGATGCAAGGAAAAGCCATTGTGCATCTTCCCTGACCAAACCTCCCGGGAGCTCAAACACTTGACTGACAGAACCCTTCCAGGGAATCCGCCCTAGTCAGTGGCAGCGGTCCTACCAGAGAGACCTACCCTTTGGCCCCCTGGGTAGAACTCTATGAGCCTTTATACTGGGGGCACCCTGAGAATTCTACCTTTTAAAGGGCCACACTCATTTCTGACTTTAAACAGTCTCAAATTAAAAGAGGTGAACCTTACTCTATCGCCAGCTCTACACAGTGACAAAATACAGCCATAGTACAGCTTAATCCAGTAGTTCTTTTCCCCAGGAAAGTAAAGCTGTACAGTTTGACTATGATCCTAAAGTGGGAAGACAATCTGAGGACCAGAAACGTACTCAAAAGTGAAGAGCTCAGTTTTCCTTGGAAAGGTTCTCCCTTGACTTCTGGACTCCTGTTTAGGCGCTTTTCTCATTAAAGTAACAACCCTGGAACACTACTGGGCCTCTGGCAACAGGTGGATGTTATAAGGCGGCATGAAATGGAAGTCCCTTCTATAGGGGTAGCAAGTGTTCTCTATGTTTGAAAGCCCCAGTGATCTAAAGGGAAATCCCTAAATCAGTGGTTTAAAACCACTTCTTGGCCCCAAATCATGTGCGAGACACATTCCCCTCAGTAACAGCAGGGCACACAGCAGAATCTGTCATGGACAGAAGAGGGCTGTAGCTCCCTGACAGCAGGCACCCCAAGAGTTCAGAGATCACTGCCCCAGATAGCTGACTACCAGTCTTAAAAAATTAAAGCTAATATTTAAAATTGTTCTGAATGGAGTCAACAAACACTTTGAATAATACCTTTAATCAGGAGAACACAGTGTAGCCTGGCAGGTGTGGCTCAGTGGTTGAGCATAGAGCTATGAACCAGGAGGTTACTGTTTGATTCCTGGTCAGGGCACATGCCCGGGTTGTGGACTCGATCCCCAGTGTGGGGTTGTGCAGGAGGCAGTCAATCAATGATTTTTCTCTCATCATTGATGTTTCTATCTCTCTCACCCTCTCCCTTCCTCTTGAAATCAATATATATATATGGCTAACATGCAGTGTCCCCTTGGGAGTTTGGGAGAACGGGAGTTCGATTGCTTGCTATGATGTGTGCTGACCAAAAGGGGGCGGTGCAGAACATGGCGGGCGACCAGCCCTGGAGATGGGGTGCTGAGGGAGCAAGGGAAGGAGGAGGCGGGGAGGCGGGGAACCTGATCGGCCCTGATTGCAGGCCAGGCCTAGGGACCCTGCCCATACACAAATTTCGTGCACCAGGCCTCTAGTAAAAACATATTTTAAAAAAGAGAGAGAGAGAGAGAGAACACAGTGTATCCACTTGGCCTTTCCCACAAAACACAAAACACAAAGCAAAACAGTGTAAAAGTGACATTTCAAATCAGGGGAAAATGTTAGCCACATAGAGAAAAGAAGGTGGGTCCATAGCTCACATCTTACACAAAAGTAAATTCCAGGTGAATCTGAGAGTTAAATGGGGTGGGAGTGGGTGAAGAGAACCTTTAAGTACTAGACTAACACATGGGAGAAATTGGTTTTTATAACCTTGGAGTGGGGGAAGTCTAAGTATGTCACAAGGCAAAGAAGTCATAAAAGAAAGGACTTGGCCCCCTAACCGGTTTGGCTCAGTGGATAGAGTGTCGGCCTGCGGACTGAGGGGTCCCAGGTTCGATTCTGGTCAAGGGCATGTACCTTGGTTGTGGGCACACTCCCAGTCGGGGGTGTGCCGGAGGCAGCTGATCGATGTTTCTAACTCTCAATCCCTCTCCTCTCCTCTCTGTAAAAAAATCAATAAACTATATATATATTTTTTTTTTTTTAAAAGAAAGGACTTGGTAAATTTGATGACATAAAATTTTAAAGTTTTGCATGACATAAATCATAAATAAAAGCAGATAAATAAATAAATACATAAATAAAGCCAGACTAAAACACCCAAAAGTGGAAGTATATCTCCAACTCACATCACAACTCATATCACCCTACTTAGAGTGGCTATAAATAAGAAAAAAAGGAAAAAAAATCAGCTACCCTGCAGAAAATCAAGGGGTATGAATAATTAATTCATTAAAATAAGACAGGTAGCCCCTAAATATATAAAAATAATCAACTTCACTTAGAATAAGGGAAGTATATTGTGGTCCCCCTTATCCATGGTTTCACTTTCCACGGTTTCAGTTATCCAAGGTCAACCTCAGTCCAAAAATATTACATGGAAAGTCCCAGAAATAAGCGATTCGTCAGTTTGAAATTGCACGCTGTTCTCTGTAGCATGATGA